CACTACATAAATTTAATCTCATGATTTATATACGTGAATACTCATCAAAAAATAATATTATTCAACATACACAATCATTTTTTAAAAATAAATTTTTTTATAATATATAATTATAATAACAATTATTTAATAAACTTTTCATTTTTATAATAATTTTCTTCTATTTTCTTTTATAGACCAATTTGTCCGTAAAAACATCCAGAATTTTAGCTTCCTATATGTATTATTGCATATTATTATTTTACAATAAATTTTAGCTTCCTATAATGTCATATGTATTATTGCGTTTTTATTATTTTTAATTTTACAAGTAGTCTTTTCTTACTACCAGTTTACATAAAGCATCAATAATTTGTGGACCCAACACTTGTAAGGTATTTACCTGTAAGAAAAATTCTTTAGGTTAGTTTTAGAATTCAACAGTTACACTAATTTAAAGGGATTTAAATCTAACAGAGGTGACTTTTTCCTAATATTCTTGTTTCCACTCTCTATGCATAACTAAAATCCTATAATTTAGGTTTAATCAACATGACTTTTACAACATAGTTTGGGTTGTATTTCTTACATAATTTGAATTTTGCATTTTGTTAGTTATCTTTGTAATTTGAATTTTATAGTTATGGAGATTAATCATTGGTGAACAAACTTAAAAAATTAGGTGTTATAAAAGAGTTTTTAAAATTTGAGTTTAAGAATTTAATCATCCGTAATATATAATTCAAGTGTAAAAAATAACTAAACACAACCTTTCGATCTTAAATTCTTCGGAGATTCTGGGTGCCATAGTCTAAATAACTCAAATTTTAAACATTATAGTGAATTGAACATATTCAAATCAATTATGTAAGTTCTACTTTATTTAAATTATATGCAATTCACTTGAGAACACATTTAATTATAAAATACATGAAAAAAGAACTACGTTTCTAACTTAAAAAGAAAAGGAAGATTCCTTGCACTTTTTTTAAATATATAGTATTAATAAGTAACAGAAAATAAATTTATCCTAAATCATAATTCCCTTTTTCAGATTCTGTTAGCATAATTAAATATGAGAATCCATTTTCAAATATTTATTGTGATTAAAACATTCATACAATAAACCAATAACAGAATCCATTAAAAATAATAACTGAAATCAAAACTAGATTACTGACATAACAAATATGAAGATTCCCTGAAAAATGTAATAATAATTTAGCACAATCAATCAGCATGTATACATAACAATATAGTCTTAGGCAGCAGATAAGATAGGTTGTCAGAATCACTCAAAACTTACCTTGCAAATTGAAATAATAAAGGTATAAAATAAATAATAATAATAATAACAATAATAATAATTTGGATAATGTCATCATTGTCATGATCCAAAAGTATAGAGAGGGCCCCACTTTCACGGTCATTGTGAGATTTGAGGAACAAGTCAAGTGTTGTCAGTGTCTTACAAGGGTAGGGCTCAGCTCAGCCATTCTATCTACACGCCGCTCCTTCACACTCTCACTCTCTCTTTCACAACTTTCGCCTTACTCTCTGGTATTCTTCTTCTTCCTCTTATTCTTTTTCTTCTTCTTCTTCGTAATCTCATCTCACCTTTCCATCGTCCTGTGATCCATGTACCATTATTTCAGTCTGAGCTTTTATGTTTGGAAATGAAGGATCTTAACTTGTGGTTGATATGTTGTTATTTTGGGTGATCATCAATGTAAAATATAAGGGTCCACGTCTCACCCATCTTAATTTAATTCGAAAGGGATACTGGTTGGTCAGATTTGAATGAAAAAAATAATAAAGGCTTCTTAGTTTAGTTAAGGTTTTATTGATGCTGATGTGGGTAGGGTTGTGGTGTGTTTATTGATTTGGTTTCTCGGGGACTGTTTTTGTGAGCTTTTATATATTTACATCCAATTTTCATCCCTTGGCGATCTAAGAAAGAAATCTGAACAGAAAGGAGAGGTGAGAGTGTGATTCAACTTTTTGTGTCCGTATGGGGATTGGATCTGCAAATTCTGCATGTTTCACTGTTTTTTGTTTTTTTCTGTAAATATTTTGACATATTTTCAGCTTCTGATAGGTGTGATTTTTTTTCTTCTAACATGTCTCGACTTTCCCGTTTGAGATTCTTCTATGGATATAGAAGATAAGTAAATCAAATGATTCCTCTGATTTGAGCCAACTATTTGTTAATTGGACACGAGGGTTATTCTGTTCTCGGAACACAGATCCTGGATCTAATTGGAGTAATGATTTCTGTGACTCCAAAACTAGTTCTATAGAATCTCCCGATTTGCATGTAGTTTGTTCTTGTACGGTTCTTTTCGGAGTGCGATTTTCATTGGTTAATTTTTTCAAAATCTGTGCATGGATATACTTGAGACTAATTAAACTGCAAAATCGAAAATTTCTAAGATGTTCTATCTGGTTGTTAGACAGCTAAAATGCAAGGAGGATTAAGAACATTTTTGTCCAACGGGAATGTCATTAAAAATGCTGTTCTGCAACGGGTTCGCATGGTGAATCCCCTGTTGCAACCAATCGCCTCCTCACGGTTTGAATCTGTTACACCTGCTCGCATTGAGGAACATGGTTTTGAGAGCACAACAATTGCAGACATCATGAAAGACAAAGGCAAGGGTGCAGATGGATCCTGGCTCTGGTGCACCACAGATGATACTGTTTATGATGCTGTTAAATCGGTAATATGTATTTGATTTTATTGCAATTGTTTTTGGAATAAATCTGGGAGTTTACAATGGGTTGATGTATGTTCTTACATTGACATCCATTGCAGATGACCCAAAACAATGTTGGGGCTCTGGTTGTTGTGAAACCTGATGCGAATAAGGCAATTGCAGGGATTATTACCGAAAGAGGTATCCGATTGGCTTAATGAGTTCTGTGATAAGTTGTCTAATGGATGATTTAGTTTTCTTTAGAAAACGATGGCTTATGTCTGATGCAATTCTTTACGCTAATGTCTCGATAAAATTGTTTGGAAATGCAAAGTAGTGAACTTAGATTTTCTATATTATAGAAACAAAGAAAGAGGAGGGAAAAGCTCTTCATCTGTTTCTCCCTATCCGTGACATATGAGATCCTAAAATTCTATTTAGTTTTGGGGCAAGATTTTTGGTAAGAATAGTTCAGTTCTATATGTTCTGCATGTTTTATATGTTAAGCCATTGAGCATCATATGCATAATTGCCTAACTGAACAAGAAAAAATGAGATTGGTATGCTTGACACACTTGGCACCCTGTAAAAACTAAAAAGGGTTGTATTGTATTCACTCGATGGTGCTTTTGGCTTTCAAGATTCTGTGTATCATATGCTGTAAGTAGTAAATACCTGCATGTACTCTGATGAGAATGCAAAATGATTTATATTGGAGAAGGAAAATGTCTAATTGGCTAACGAGCTAATAATCCAGGAAAAGCCTTTGCATAGTATGGTCTTTTTATCAATATATTTTTCGACACAGTTAAATAGTCTTAATTATCTACAGCCTGTTTGTTTATCCCTTGGTCATTTGTGTTAACTATTTGCTCCTCTCGTCATTCAGATTACCTGAGAAAGATCATCGTGCAGGGAAGATCTTCCAAGTCTACCAAGGTTGGAGATATTATGACTGAGGAGGTATGTGTATTATGGTACTTCTTGTGTTTACTTCAACTTGGAGAAATATTTTATTATTTCTGCTAAATTGCAGAAAGAGCTTTTGAGAAATAAACTACTGTTTTTCCAAAATTAAGCTTGCCAAACATACTGTTATTCTATAGTGAACCTGCAATTTGTGTTATGTTATGTGTTCAGAGAATTAAACTGTTCCCCTTGTTAGTGGTGTTCCAGATAACTAAATTAAAATTCTATCGTTGTGACTGCAGAACAAACTTATCACAGTCACTCCCAATACCAGAGTTCTACAGGCTATGCAACTGATGACTGGTATGTATGAGCTTTGAAACATTGTTTTAAGCTGTCAACTAATAAAAAAATCATCTTTAATCATAGTTTGTAATTGGATATTATTATAACAGGACCAAAATTCACACTGTTACTACATGTATATATTATTGTTCATTCGGAAAGATATCATATAGGTTTATGATTACATAAGCTTGTAAATCATGTTTGTGATCTTATTCTGCATTTTGTTACAGATAACAGAATCAGGCACATTCCTGTGATTGATGAGAAGGGGATGATTGGAATGGTGTCTATTGGAGATGTGGTTCGTGCTGTGGTGCGTGAGCACCGTCAAGAGGTTGAGCGTTTGAATGCTTTCATACAAGGGGGTTATTAGATGATGGTGNCTAACGAGCTAATAATCCAGGAAAAGCCTTTGCATAGTATGGTCTTTTTATCAATATATTTTTCGACACAGTTAAATAGTCTTAATTATCTACAGCCTGTTTGTTTATCCCTTGGTCATTTGTGTTAACTATTTGCTCCTCTCGTCATTCAGATTACCTGAGAAAGATCATCGTGCAGGGAAGATCTTCCAAGTCTACCAAGGTTGGAGATATTATGACTGAGGAGGTATGTGTATTATGGTACTTCTTGTGTTTACTTCAACTTGGAGAAATATTTTATTATTTCTGCTAAATTGCAGAAAGAGCTTTTGAGAAATAAACTACTGTTTTTCCAAAATTAAGCTTGCCAAACATACTGTTATTCTATAGTGAACCTGCAATTTGTGTTATGTTATGTGTTCAGAGAATTAAACTGTTCCCCTTGTTAGTGGTGTTCCAGATAACTAAATTAAAATTCTATCGTTGTGACTGCAGAACAAACTTATCACAGTCACTCCCAATACCAGAGTTCTACAGGCTATGCAACTGATGACTGGTATGTATGAGCTTTGAAACATTGTTTTAAGCTGTCAACTAATAAAAAAATCATCTTTAATCATAGTTTGTAATTGGATATTATTATAACAGGACCAAAATTCACACTGTTACTACATGTATATATTATTGTTCATTCGGAAAGATATCATATAGGTTTATGATTACATAAGCTTGTAAATCATGTTTGTGATCTTATTCTGCATTTTGTTACAGATAACAGAATCAGGCACATTCCTGTGATTGATGAGAAGGGGATGATTGGAATGGTGTCTATTGGAGATGTGGTTCGTGCTGTGGTGCGTGAGCACCGTCAAGAGGTTGAGCGTTTGAATGCTTTCATACAAGGGGGTTATTAGATGATGGTGATGATGATGATGAAAATCCCTGAAGAGCATTCAAGCTAATTTGGATTAAGTAATAAGCCTGAGTGCTTGTAAATATGTTTGTGATTTCAGTTCTATGAACATTAACCCCAATGGTGTAGTTGCTTGTTAATAATAACAACTGGATGCAGTTTGAATCTGTTTTCAACTTTCGAAAACTTGTTTCACTGATGATTGAGTGCAAGTTCAAATCTGCACTCTGCAGATGGTAACTTTTCTTTTTGCCTTATCATGGATGCCACAGTTTAATATGTTACTTTTATACGTAATATTTTCAAATAAGTGCTTGAAAATAATTAAGAAAATAAAAAAAAAAGAACTCCATTTATTTAGAGAAATTATGTATATAAGTTATCTGACCACTTTCTTTCAAAGAGAATAGGTTATATATTGATAGGATAATGTACTGTCGTCTATGTATATATTATTTTATATGATATTTACTTTTTTATCCTTGAAAAAATAAAATTTTAATTCGTAACTGTTAAATAAATTTATGAATAAAAGAAAATTATGATGTAGTATTAGATAATACATTTATTTTAAAAATAACTTGTATTTGATACATTTATTTTAAAAATCATAAAATATGACGTGATATTTATGTATTTTTAAAATATGACGTGATATTTATGTATTGAAACAATGTATAGTAATTTTTAAAAATATGATAATATATAATTATTATTGTATGAATCTAAATTAAAGTTATATGTAATAAAATTGTTAACATAAAATATTGTACGTTATTATCATTATAAAAATATTTTTATTATTTTATAGATTAGATATTTTATTAATAGTAGAAAAAATTCAAAATTTTAAATTTTGCACCTAAATATTAAATAAAAACGTTTTATTTCGTCATTTATTGATGTGTTGTATCATTAAGTTTTAGGTTGTACGTTGACTTGAGTAAAAACAACTTTTTACGTTCATAAAAATGGAAAATTTTATATTAACACTCTTCATTTTCTCTGTACTTATAAATCATCTAATAAAATAATAATTCTTTTAATTTTAGAGGTAACCTTTTCTAAATTATTTTATATTTTAAAATAAAAAGATATTATCATTAATGTTGGTTAGATATATGGAATAGGATTTCTGTGATGAGATTTCTAAAATAGGATTTCCGAAACATATGTATGAAATATATTTTGAAACAAGTTTTCGAGAATATGATTTCTGAAATAAGTTTTCTAAAATGTATATAATACTTTTCGAAATAAACTTTCCAAAATAAACATTCTCAAGCAAGCTTTCCAAAACCCATGAAATATATTTTAAAAGGAATTTTTCAAAACGAGCTTTTTTCTGCAACACGTTCTCTCTTTTCTTCTGCAGTCACAGTGATGCAACATCGGCAGCAGTGGTGTAGTACAGTGGAGGAGAGTATTTTAGTTTTTTAGGTAGTATGCGTTGCAGTCATAAATGATGGGGTGCAGGAACCAAAAGTTTAAAACAAGAGCATGGGCTCAAACTTATACATGTAGGCCCACATTTTTTTTATTTGGGATGTTGTTCCTGCACCTCTAAGTGTCATTCTTCCATCTCTAAATTTCACTATGAGAAATTTAACTTTTGAAATATATATATATATATATATATAGTATATAAATTAGATAAACAGTAATTTTTAATTACCAAACATATTTAGTATCCCAAGTTTATATTGACGTGTTTTCTCTAGTCTGTTTCAGCTTTATTTTCCGTTCAACGTAAAACTTGTGGTTTTATTTCGTTTATCCTTCTCATCTCCTTCATTTTCCTTTTCATTCATCTTTCAAGTAAACGTATTATTCATTTTTATTGGTTAAGTTTTTTTTAATTTAATATTTATTTTTATTATATTTTAAATTACATAATTTCGAAATCTAATTTAGAAAACTTGTCGAATTTTCTTGTTTAGAAAACTCAAATTTTGAAATTCTTTTAAGAAACTCATTTTATTTTGAAATTCAATTTCAGAATTTACTGGATTTCGAAATTTGGTTGACATTTCTTTTAGATTTTGAAATCTAGTGAACACTTTTCTTAAATTTCAAAATCTGGTATTAACTATTTTTTATTTTTTTTTTAAATTTTTATATTTATTTTATTTAATATTTTTGTTTTTTTAAATGTGTTTTACCTGTTTTGTTTTGATAACTTTCTAATCTTTAATTATGTTATAGGGGTATGTGTTGTTATACTTTACACTTTACTTATTATGTTTTACCTTTTTCTTTCTTAATAATTTGTTAATCAATTATAAGCTAATATGGACAATTTGATGACTATACTAAACATTGGTTATGTTATTGCTAATCAATATAATATAATGTCATCTTAGTTTGTTTGTTATATTGTCAAAATACTACAATCTTTTCACTCATGCTAATATAAGACAACATGGGTTAATCAATATAAGACATGTTCATAGTTCTTATTTTGTGCAGGTAAAGTGATTATTATTTTCTACCATTTTAAAATAAATTCCATTTACTAATTTTATCTTTATAGGTTCACCTACAAGAAGGTTGACCTTTATCGATGATGGATATCATATTGTCTACCCATGGTTACCCAAAGACGCGGGTGTGATAATCTTTTTATGTTAGTAGGATGCAAACATTTGTAGAGTTGATGGATGTTAATACCAGTTATGTAAACTTGCATAAAGATTTATATTTGTGTTATGTAAACAAATTATTTAAATCAAAATACTAAGTTGTTTAATCATATAAAAATGAAGTTGTTTAATTACAAATATTACTTAGAAGTTCAAAACAATCAAACACATAATAAAAAATGTTGTTAGCTAGATGATGAACGTTTGCCACATACATTGTGACCTCCTCTATTGTTGGGAGCATGTTCTTCAAACGTAGCACGTAGCACAAACTATTTATAATGTCTTATTAGTCTAGTGTCAGGCCATAATGTCCTCACTCACTTCACGACAATCAATCATTGTTTATATGATTCTCAAAACGCGTTTGATAAAGGTCTACAATAATAGTAAAAACAAATTATTTAGTATTCTTTAATAACATAAACACACAAACTTATAAACATTGTATGGTTACGTACCAACAAACCAGATTCTGACTTTGATCCCCTAGAAACTAGAAGGTCATACAGGAGATGTCGACAAAGTTGAGGTACAAGACTTGGCTGGTCATCCTCAACATTAAGAATAATATAAGGATGTGATACCCTTCTAAACCACTAGAGGTATCCCTCAACACATGTAGATGAAGATGATGTCGTCATGAGATTCATTAACACATGCTCGGCAAAGCCCAAGCAACAATTATCAATGGTTGTTATGTCAGCCTCTAGAACAACCTTTGGCTACTGCAAGATCAACTACTCATAACCAAATTCCCTTAACAAGCATTCAGACAAAGTCGGTGTACAATCACGCCCACTTTGATCTAACCAAAGTACATACTGATTGTCTAATGCAGACAACTAATCCAATGTGATTCATATGGGGCCAGATCACCCCATCATATGTCAATACATTAAATTGTGCCCTAATCTTTGGTAGGTTGAAAATTTGTCTCCAAATCAACACTAAATCCCTAAATTTGTATCCTTAAATCCCTAACTTATGTCCTAATAGGTTCATCTACATAATTTTGACTATACTAAACATTTACAAAGAAATGTAAATGAAAGAAACGTAAACAAATGTGTACCTTCGAGTGGTTGCTTGAAAGTTGAACATGTGTATGAGTTGTGGTAATGAGTAGTGTTGTCAAAACGAGTCACCCGACCTCATCCAGTCGGACCCATCACTGGTTGACCACTTAGTGAATCAACTCAACTCGGCTCATTTATTAGCGAGTCGAAAAAAATCTGAACTTTACCCGACTCACCATGGGTTGGTAGGTTAAACAGGGTGGCTCACTGGTTCACTTAATTACAAGTTTTTTTTAAATCCCAAAAAAATTACAATTCTTTTGTAATTCAAATTTAAATAATTTCACTCTAAAATTATTTTAAACTTCAAAGACAATTCAAAATAAAAAGATTAACATACAAGAGTGAATAAACAAGTTTATAATATTGATAATTTTTGTGTCATTTATCCATTTATAATATTAGAGTTTTAAATGATTAAATTTATAATATTTTGCTCTCTTGAAACATTTTTCATTATTCTCATTTAAAATACAATAAAAATATGTTTACTAATAATATTAAAACAAAAATAATAAATAATTAAATTAAACGTTGATGAGTCAGATTCAACTCGGATAAATCGAGATGAAAATTTGTCTATATAAAAAAATTTCAATTTTTTCAAACCCAATTTAATCTGAATGAGTGGTAATTCTAATAATTTTGATAACACTAGTCGTGAGGGATGTGACGGAGAGAGCGGATAGCAAGAGCACTTCGGGTGTGGGGGCAGTGTGACGCTAGGTTAGAAGAAAGAAAAAAAAATGTTAGAGTCAAAGTGAGCGGATAGGATAATTATAGGAGCTAGTTTTTCTTTACTCATTGTAAAAACAAGTAGTTTAGAAAGAAAAAAAACTTGGTGATAGAAGAATAAAGTCGTTTTATCTTTCTTGCACATTCTGATTCTCCGGTTCCAAAAAAACGTTTTTGTAGTTATAATTGTATTTTCAAAGTTTACTCGTACTTTTTTTCTGTAATTTTTTGGAGATAGATGTGTGAACTATAAACTATTTATTTATTTTATAACTGATCCAATTATAATTTAAAAAGCCAAAGAAAAAACAGTAATTGTTACTATCTTTTATTAAGTTTTGAATAACCGACAACAAATCACGTCAAAGCTTAACATAACGCAAAAGTTACAACCAATAACATGCGTGGCTTGTATAATGGATCAGAGGACACAAGTGAAGCTTCTGCATCAAGAACCCACCATTGCGTCCTCATCTTCACTTCTATATATTATGGTACATAATTGCTACTTATTTGGTGGATTTTATGACTTTTCTGTTTTGAAAATTTTCATAAAACCTACTTTTTAATTCTTGAGAAGATCTTATAGTTGATTTTGTTTGAAGCATTTTAACACATAAAATATTATAATAGATATTTTTATAATAATTTTAATGTTTTGGAATGATAAAGTTATTTACAAATTTATTGTCTTTTAAGTGAGAAACGGTGTCATTCTTTTATATAAATTTGACCAACTCGTATTATTATTAATACATTTTTCCAATGAACTCTCTTTAAAACGCATGATTAACAATGTAAATTTATAATTGATTAAGAATGCAAATAGTCAGTGTATATATATATATTGCTCCAGCTTTAAACATTAAAAGAAGTGTCTTTTTGTCTTTGTCCCACCCAATTCCTATCTCTTTTGGTGGGTTTTGTTTGCTTCCCAAGGAATTTTGTGAAGTGGGAAAAGCGAAATGGATGGCCATAATGTACTTACGGTGACAAAATTCACACGGGTTTTGGCCTTTCAAAAATGACACAAAAATAATTCACTTACGAATTATTATGGACATGTTTTGTATTTGTTGTGAGGAGAGACTCCTCCAACATCATCATCGTATCTCTTCCTCATAATAGAATATACTTTTCATATCATGTAATGTCTTCGGTGCTGTTTGGTTTGATACAGAAAATCCGAACAAAAGGGCTTCATGGAATTCACTTCTTTTGGTTCATTCTCCTTTTATGAGTATGCTAGTCCAACCAAACTACTGCTATGGCTGGCATCTATCTTCTCTGGCATAATCTTCTGTCTTATTGTAAGTAAACTCAGATTCCTCGTTAGTTGTGTTGTGTGTGAGTTTTATGAGTGGAGTTTCTGTTTGTTCACTCTTCAATTTCTTCTTTTTGTGAAACATATGTTCAGTTTTATCTTAAAGGGGTTAATTCTAAGAATGACTGGTTGTGATGAAGAACTTTTTGTTGGCAATTTTAAAGCCTGATCCTTTTGTTCCTTCTTGAAGGCTTATACATCAACTGCTGTTTTGAGTTCTTTGTTGATCAAGGGATATGGCAAATTGAGCAGTGCAGAGAAAATTGAATGGAATAACAGGTGAAGTGTTTTTGCATAATCCTTCCTGTTTGCATATTAATTAACTGAGTATTAACATAATCTGTAATGCAGGGGATTCTCTACGTTTCATGCTCTCTTTGTATCATCTGCATCTTTCTACCTCATCTTCTTATCAGATGTCTTCAATGCGAATTCACAGGAGGTAGTTATTAATAAATCATCAAGGTTATCAGATACAGTATTGGGGGTAAGTTGAAGACATAAGCAAATTTTAGTTGTTAGTCTCATAACATAATGTCACTTGTTTTGGAACATTGTTGTTAAGATTTTGTCTGTCATACTATGTGAAATTTATATACGAATGTTAACTTGTTCTGTTTTGGGTTTTCATTATACTTCCCTGCACAGATTTCTATTGGTTATTTTCTAACAGATCTGGCTATGATTCTTTGGAACTTTCCAGCTTTAGGGGGTCTTGAATATGTAAGTAGATATAGTCTTTCTTGTTATTGTTCTTAACACATTAATAACAGTATCAATGCACACTATCTGACACAATATTTAGGTTCTACACCACGGGCTATCCATAGGTTCCATTACACTATCCCTGCTAAGTGGTCAAGTTCATATCTACATACTAATGGTTCTTTTCTCTGAGAGCACTACTCCTTTTGTAAATCTTAGATGGTAAATCTCTTGTTCAGAATTTCATTTACCTTCATGTGCTTCTATAACATTACTTATAACAATAGTTCTATATATAGGTACTTGGATATTGCTGGACTTAAGNGGCAATTTTAAAGCCTGATCCTTCTGTTCCTTCTTGAAGGCTTATACATCAACTGCTGTTTTGAGTTCTTTGTTGATCAAGGGATATGGCAAATTGAGCAGTGCAGAGAAAATTGAATGGAATAACAGGTGAAGTGTTTTTGCATAATCCTTCCTGTTTGCATATTAATTAACTGAGTATTAACATAATCTGTAATGCAGGGGATTCTCTACGTTTCATGCTCTCTTTGTATCATCTGCATCTTTCTACCTCATCTTCTTATCAGATGTCTTCAATGCGAATTCACAGGAGGTAGTTATTAATAAATCATCAAGGTTATCAGATACAGTATTGGGGGTAAGTTGAAGACATAAGCAAATTTTAGTTGTTAGTCTCATAACATAATGTCACTTGTTTTGGAACATTGTTGTTAAGATTTTGTCTGTCAGTGAAATTTATATACGAATGTTAACTTGTTCTGTTTTGGGTTTTCATTATACTTCCCTGCACAGATTTCTATTGGTTATTTTCTAACAGATCTGGCTATGATTCTTTGGAACTTTCCAGCTTTAGGGGGTCTTGAATATGTAAGTAGATATAGTCTTTCTTGTTATTGTTCTTAACACATTAATAACAGTATCAATGCACACTATCTGACACAATATTTAGGTTCTACACCACGGGCTATCCATAGGTTCCATTACACTATCCCTGCTAAGTGGTCAAGTTCATATCTACATACTAATGGTTCTTTTCTCTGAGAGCACTACTCCTTTTGTAAATCTTAGATGGTAAATCTCTTGTTCAGAATTTCATTTACCTTCATGTGCTTCTATAACATTACTTATAACAATAGTTCTATATATAGGTACTTGGATATTGCTGGACTTAAGAGTTCCAAACTTTACATTTGGAATGGCATATCATTGTTCCTCGGGTGGTTGGTACTGCTACTGTCTGATAATTATAGTCTTCACCTAACTCTAATTACTCTGCTAAGTTGGTTAAGTATACTGTCTAGAACATTGTAATGATAAAATGTACAGATAAAGTATGTATCAACCAACTAAAACATGGATCTGAAAATGCTGAAGCTATTTGTTTTTCGACAGCAGATGCAGAAATTTAGTCCTTACAATAAATGTTTGTACGAATGTCAAACTTTGTTGTGACTTTTGGTTTTTGTTGGTTGTTATGGAACTACTTTTCTTGGTAGTTCCAGGTGCAAACCAGTCAGACCATAATGAACTTCTTGTGCAGAGTGAATTCAATTCAACCGCTTGAAATTTCTATCCTTAATTATTATCTATTCTGTGGTAGGTTGCAAGGATTTTCTTATTCATGTTCCTTTTTTACCATATATGGACCCATTTGGTTGAGGTTAGCATGTGTTCTATGATCCACTGTGACCCTGTTACATAATTCTTCACAATTTTCCTTCTTTATTGCACTGAATAAAAACTGTATATGGTTTATTTTAGGTGCAGGAGGTGTTTCTTTTTGGCTTTTACACCTTGATTATGGTGCCTTCTGTGTTGGCAGTGATGAACATATTTTGGTTCTGGAAGATTGCAAAGGGCATGGTTAAAACTCTCACTAAAGCAAAACACAACAAGGGAGCATGACAATATACTCTTAACATAGTATCTTGACATGGCCAACAATTGTTTTATAGTACAGTTACAATCAACACTTTTGTTTTAACCTGAAATTTTAAGCTTTACTTGTATATTTTGAAATTTGAAATACTCAATTGAAATTCTTTGTGTCAAAATATGACCACAATCATTTTCTTAGCTTTTTTTTCTAATGAACAAGAGTTAAATTAGGTTCTTCCTATTTTTACTGATCAGTTGGTAAGCTAGAAGGATCTAACTTATAGAAAATGCTAGTTATCCATTATGAATGAAAATTTAGTGCTGTTATCTTGTTTTCCTACTAAACTCAATAATCTCATACACAATTTAAATATAATGTTTTTATCCAGTGTTTTTTAATGATAAAACTCTGACGAATAAGGTTTCAAAATGAAAAATACTTCTGATAAATAAATTAGGAAATGATAATAAATATTATTGCCTTATATGGGAATAATGTATGCTTTTTAGAAGATATTTAGTCAAAAGTTATTCTTAGTAGAAAACTTAGTATAATTATAATCTTTACGTAATTAATTCAGTGAATATTTACTAGAATAGTATGGAAGAAAAGAGTAAATGTAACTTTTAATTCTTAACTTTATAATAACTTTATTTTCATTAATAAGATATCGGTATGATGTATTTTAAATAATTAAGAGTAAATAAGTATAGTGTGACTTTTGAAGAAATTACAAAAATGTATTAATATTTTCGCTAAAAAGAATTAAATATCTTTTACTTATAAATTATGACAAACTAAAATACTAAAAAGATTTATAATTCGTATTACAGTTACGTCTAAACGTAAAGATGGATAAATGATTCACAAACATTTTCGAAGGTATCTCTAGTCTTCATGCCATGATCCATCCATAATGTTAAAATATTATTTCGTCCAAATAAGTAAATAAATAAAAAAATAACAGAATAATAATTAATGTTGGGTAAAAAGATAAAATAATGTATATAATTTTCAAACTTTAATACATGACATATCTCTAGAAAATATATATTTTTGAAATATTAGTTTAATATGATAATATTTTGAATCAATATTATGCCAATAATTAATAAACAGTAATTAAAATAATATATTAATATAATTTGTTGCACTGAATATTATTCGATTTGTTTTTTTTTCTAGAACTACCATTTCTGTTTCTATTTTGTTTTCTTTCTCTATTTTGTTAGTTGTCAAATAATTCACAATTAAGGTACATAATAGTACAATGTGTGTACCACCCTATGACAGAAAAAAGAGAGAAGAATAAATAGAGAGATAAACTAAGAAATAACAGGGATAGAACTAGGGAAGTATTAAAAGCTCAAAAGGTATGTCATCTTTGCACTCTTCTTTTTCTCTTTTTAGTATACATAGAGGATTTTTCTAAAGGTATTATTTTCTACTACATACATAATGTTTTTGGTATAGGTTATGTCTCCTAGATCACGTCAATATTTATTTTTCTTTAAAATAAGTAATAAATAAACAATTTCAAAAAAAAATATTTCTTATCAGAAATTTTCTTATAAAAAATAATAAGTCATAAAATAAGTGGCCTAGAACCGGTTTCTTTCCTTTCTTTTCCACCTTTTTTTAAAATAAAATAATACAAAATCATCAAAATAAAAAAAACGATATCAGTTCTAATTGGGTTCACCTTTCAAAAATCTCAAACAATCCATAATAATCTTTAAACAAATTCATAAACTTTTTTCTAGATAAAGAACTACGCGATCCCTAATTGTTCATCATAAAAAATCTTTTGTTTCTTAATAGTTTCTTTATATTATTATTTTTTTTAGGAAAAATTAAATATTTTGAAAAACCATGTCAACTTTATAGATTTAATTAAAGGTACTGTTTTTAGGCAGGCGCAGTAAAGTGCTAATACCTTCCTTACACGTAACCGATTCACGAACCTAAAGTCTAGTTTTCGGAGATCACACTTTTATTTTATGGTTTTACAGAGTTTTTCAATAATAAATTATGGTGAAAATCTTTTCTCAAACCCGTTTATTTTCAGTTCGCTGGTTGCTACAATAGACATTTTATTTAAATGTGTTATTTTGTCATAAAAATTCAGATTTCGATTATAAGAATAAAAAATATTTTTAATTTTAAAAAAATTAAAATGTAAATAAAAAACTACTAAGGTGAGTATTTCATTGAAACAAAAATATTATCAAAACATGGTTTGATAGATAAAATCCATACAAAATACAATAAAAGATAAATAGCTATTCCACATTTCATCCTGACAATTCTTTTTAAAAATAATATCGTAACTTAAAAAAAAAGAATTTTGTATTTTTTAAAAAATAATAATAAAAGATAAAATTGTGGTTGTAAGATGGATGATTTTTTTATATTAAATATTAAGGAAACATGATCCTGTATTCAGTATCATTCTCTGTTTATGATATAACTTTACTTGAATATTAATATTAATTAGATTCACTTCTGTTATCTATAGTAAAACTAAAGAAATATTCTAATTGTACATATTTCTACTTGTAAAATTACCATCAAATGTTACTTCTTTCCAAAATTATTCTTAATTATTTTTTTCATGGTTTTAACTAAAAGAAGAACTAAATAAAAATAACATGTTATCCAACATTTAAGAGAAATTAAAAAATATATATTAATTATTAACATAAATAAATTTAAAGTTAAACTATAGCTTGTTTAAATCAATATTACAATAAAAGTAGAAATATAAATGGTAACATTTTTTACATTCATCAAAGAAATACTCTCATAATTGTTGGGTCTATCGAGAAAAAATTCTGTTGATTAAGACAATAGTCTTTCATCTTTATATATTGTTCTACCTTCTCATTTCTATCTTAGGATTTGGAGTGCTTACTTGAATTCGCAACAATAATATCATAAACTATTAATATACTTTTACATTTTAATTTTAAATATTAATGCTTGTATCAAAGGAGTGCAATTTATTTTTTGTGGGTATTAAAGTTTTTTTTATTAAAAACAAATTTTGTACGGTTTTTTTTTTCGTGTAACCATTACAGTTCTCAGGCACAAAAATAACATTTTGAGGTATATATCACATCCGAAAGCATCACGTTCACCACAAGCAATTTACAAACCTGTACCCAAAATTCCAAAGAAGAATGAACATTTTAGCCACGAATCCAATTTCGGTTATGTTACACGACACCTAAGGAAAAATTTTAAGAATTGATGAGCATCAACTTTGCTTAAGCCGTGATCTCAGCACTTCTAAAAAAATGAAAAAAATAAATGAAATTCTTCTCAAAAGGTATAAGTGAACAATGCAATAAAAAATATATTTATAAATTAAAATTTATTATTATTTTTCAAACTTTAAAAATAAATAAATATAATTTTTTTAATCTACATATGTTTACAAGAAAATAATTTACATAATTTAACACTTCATTATTAATTAAAAAAATATTTTACGTATCAATTTATTTTAAATAACTAAACTAAAAACCTATATTTATTTAATTTTAAAATTTAAAGATCAAAATATATTAAATTTTTTAAAGTGATTTTCGTATGTTGTAAACATATTCTTAAAAAAAAATATCTTAAAGTACAATACTTTCTCTGCTGAAGACCGTCAACTACCAATCAATTTTGTGGTGTAAGACTGTTAGCTATTCAGACGGAATGTTACGGAAACGGAACACTGATAATTCGTGGTTGTTGCATGTATACGTCTTTTCTTTCTGTACACTTCACAAGCTTTGCCTTTGCTTTCCCGAATTAGGTTTTATTTTCTCTTTTTTTCATTCCGCGATGTCTTTGCCTCTATTTCCTCCCTTCCTCTTCTATTTTGTATTTTTTCATTTTATTTTTGGTAGCAGTAAATGCACACGTTCTATCTTTCTACAAAAGTTCTTATCATTCAAATCTGAGAACTATGATCGGTTGTGGTAACGCTTGATTTTGAGGATGGTGAGTCGTAATTACCGTGCTAGGTAGTGTCTGTTTAGGGTAGATAAAAGTTTGAGCCTTTTTTTTTTGGCGTGTTCAAGATGTGGAGTAGATGGTGGTGTGCCGGTGGTGGAGGATCGATTCTGAGGCAAAGGGTGTCTTTTGTTTTTAGTGGAAGCCATGGTTGTGGGGGAAAGGTTCAGCCTTTTGATCCTTTGAGGGGTTTTGAAGGGGAATGTGGTGGAAGGAGAGGAGGGGTGGCGTTTGTGTTGAGGCAGATGAAGAGCGGTGTCTGTTCCACAGCTTCAGTTTCACACCCTGCTGATGCTGTCAGTGGGAATGGGAATGAGAATAGTAATAATAGTAATAATAATGATAATAGTAAGAGTAATGATGATAATGGGAATGGAAAAAAAGGGTCTATGTCCTTCCGTGAGGCTAAGAAGCTAATGAGATTGGCGAATGTGGAATCGCTAAAGGAGAAGCTTGAAAGGGAGGAGAAGGAGATTATTCCCTACTGTGAGCTTCTTGAAGAGTGTAAGAAAATGGGTGTTGCAAGAGATGCTGAGGAGGCTGCAACATTTGCACATTGTCTTGATGATGCTGGGGTTATTCTCCTCTTCAGAGACAAGGTCTATCTGCATCCTGATAAGGTGACTGCTCTTTATCATGATTCTATCATTCAGTGTTTGATAATTGTTTCTCAGAAAGAAAAAATTGAATCTGTTACCGTGTGGCTTTCTTAAAACATGGCCAAATCAAGCATGTATTCAATGCCAGGAGATACCATTCATTACCCCTTTTCATGGTCCCCTTAGCTTTTAGGCTTTGTTTGGAAGTTTAGAATACTTTGTACTGCGACATTCCTTTTTTTGTTAATTTGTGAGAGTTGCAAATTAACAGATTGTCTCTAGGGGATGAATGGATTGTGTTTGCTGTTAATCTTTGAACTTCACTTTGTGACATGGAAACTCTGTTGTCTGCATTAATGTGAGTTGGTCCAAACTCACCGAAACATGATCTTTCATCAAGTGGAATAATATTGTGTGATCCACGTAGTCAACCTTATTAAATGAGTACAACATTGTTATTGGTACACTCGCTGATAGAAGGCATGGATACTTCAAAACTGTGACTTTGTTAAACACTTTTATCAGCAATTTGTTGAGTACTTCTGTGTTGCTGTTTTAAAATTGGAGTTTTGTTTTACCAACTTATATTGAACTTGTACACAAACCTTTACTATATTAATCATTCAAATAAAACTTACCAAAAAGATTTAGTTTATAAATATACCAAATGTTTCCTTCCATATAAGAAGCCCTGTGTTGTATGATTTGTAGATTGATGATCCCTTTTGTATTGCATGGTGAATATCAGGTGGTGGATATGGTTAGAAGAGCAGTTCCACTGGCACTAACAGAAGATGGTGATCCAATGATGGAGGAGCTAAAGAAGCTGCAAGAGAAGAAGACAGAAATTGACACGTTGGCACACAAGCAGGTTCGGAGAATCCTGTGGTCTGGACTAGGACTTGGTGTGTTTACTGTTGGACTGTTCTTCAGGCTAACATTCTGGGAATTCTCATGGGATGTGATGGAACCTATCACATATTTCACCACTTCCACTGGTTTGGTGGTAGGCTATGCCTACTTCTTGTTCACTTCTAGAGACCCCACTTACCAAGATTTCATGAAGAGACTCTTTCACTCCAGACAGAAGATCCTTCACAGGAACTACAATTTTGATGTTGACAGATTCAATGAGCTCCGATGCATGTGCCATAAACCCTTGAATGCCAAAGCCATTTTCAGAAATCGCTCTGGGGTGGAACAGGATTTGGAGGATGTTTTGCGCAAAGATTAACCGACTAACATTTCTTTTAGTATCGTATTCATACTTATGGTTTCTAAAGATAAAATCTTTACATTAACCGTTGTGAACAAAATAAGAAAAATCTTTCATTATTCATTTATTCCTTTAGTTGTATAAACATTATTTTCATGTCCTTTGTACTTGATGATAATAAGTCACGTACTTTAGTTCTTCATGTATTATTTTAATCTCTTTAATTTTTGTCATCTCATCTCATAGAGATTAAAAGCAGAATGCTTAAAAACTAAAAAAGATTGAGGTTTTTTTCACCATATTAGTGCAACTTTAAACAAAAATTCTACAAATTTTACTGTCACGTCTCATTAATTCAGTACTGAGTCACCTAGCTGCTTACATCAATGCACTCACGTCACTTACTCGGTGCATTAAAAATCCACTTAGTAATCCATGCATCAAAAGCCACGTGTGATAGTAGAAGGTTCTGAAGTCAGTATTGGGAGTACAGGTGTCGGCAGGGGAATGTTCGTCCGTTTGGACATGGATGAAAACAAAAGTAATTTCTGGAAAACCATCCCACTTTTCCTGCACGCACTTTCTTCTTCCCAAAACTCAGATTTCAACTTCCTCCTCCTTCTCTCTAGAACCTTTCATCTTCTCTCTTCTGCAAACTTATCATTTCCTACTCCGATCAACATTCAGGCACCGTGGAAGCATTCACGGAGTTGTAAGCTACGTTTTGAACCGAACAGTTTTGGATTCTGAAACGGGTAAGTTTCACGTTCTCAACTGTTAGTTCTTATCAACATGCAAACCTATCTATGGATTGCATGCACCTCATCTGAACCAATCTTGGTTTTCTGTAATTTTAGCCTGAAGAGTTTGATTGAGCATTAAGGGTAGAAGCGATTTTTACTGGATACTGAATTTTCTGTTTGAAGAGCGAATGCTCGTCTTAAAGGTAAGGGAAGCTTATTAAGTTTAATTCATGTGTATGTGTTGTTCTGTATGAAGTATGTGAAATTATGAAGTATGAAATCTGTATGATTAATCTTTGATGTATGATCTGGATGATGAGATGATATGTGAAATTTATGAAATGTGCTATGATATGAGTAATTAAATGCATGAAAGTTTATACTGAAAAACGAGTTACTGTAAGTGAGAAATTGAATATGAGATGTGTATGATAATGAACATTCGTTATCGAAACGGTCTTTGACCGTTCGGTATTCTCAGTAAATTATTTAAAATAGCAGAACCCTTTCATTTGGAAAGGATTCTATTCGAGGACGAACGCCCTCTTATATATATAGCTTTACGTTTGAGCGTTCGACCAAACGTAGACATCATGAGTGTTGTGTGAGAATTTGAGAAAGCTTGAAAATGTCCCTTTGAACTTTTAGTCAAATTATTAAAACATAAACTTTAAGTATCTCATCCTACATAAATCCCAAATTTCTATGATTTTGAATCAGCAAATAGCCTCGACCTAAAAGCGTACGTCCTAAGTGGCGCTCGGTCTTAGACCGAACGCTCGTCCTAAAATTTGTAAGTGATAAGTAGCGCTCGGTCCTATACCGAACGCCCGTTCTTTTCAGTTATTCCTGAATGAAGAGTTAAACAGCGTTCGTCCAATAGATTTATTAACGTTCGTCCAAGACTTCGGTGACGTTCGTCCAAAACTTCATTAAATGTCTATTTTCGCGCTCGGTCATCGACTGGCGGTTTGTCTCCTGAATTAAATCGTGCTCGGTTTATTTATTTAAACAAATTTGTGATATATATATCCATTTGATTCGCTCTAGCGTTATTGAACTTAAATTATTCTAAGTATTTTTCAGATCGTATTAGAATCAGTTCATCTAACTGATTCAAGTTGTAATGAAGTCCGTATAATAACCTGTGTTGGTTTTACTCTATTCGTTAGCGAGCCTTTCTTGGTATTATCTTAACGTTCGTCCTCTATTACAAAGAGGACTGGACGTTCGTTCTTTTATGAAAGTGGAACTAAGATTGAGAATGTGAATAAGAGGAAAGATTAAGATGTGAGAACGGTATAAGAGATGAAATTATGATTGTGAAATTTGAACAAGCGTTCCAGGGAGGAACGACTCTNAGAATTGATGAGCATCAACTTTGCTTAAGCCGTGATCTCAGCACTTCTAAAAAAATGAAAAAAATAAATGAAATTCTTCTCAAAAGGTATAAGTGAACAATGCAATAAAAAATATATTTATAAATTAAAATTTATTATTATTTTTCAAACTTTAAAAATAAATAAATATAATTTTTTTAATCTACATATGTTTACAAGAAAATAATTTACATAATTTAACACTTCATTATTAATTAAAAAAATATTTTACGTATCAATTTATTTTAAATAACTAAACTAAAAACCTATATTTATTTAATTTTAAAATTTAAAGATCAAAATATATTAAATTTTTTAAAGTGATTTTCGTATGTTGTAAACATATTCTTAAAAAAAAATATCTTAAAGTACAATACTTTCTCTGCTGAAGACCGTCAACTACCAATCAATTTTGTGGTGTAAGACTGTTAGCTATTCAGACGGAATGTTACGGAAACGGAACACTGATAATTCGTGGTTGTTGCATGTATACGTCTTTTCTTTCTGTACACTTCACAAGCTTTGCCTTTGCTTTCCCGAATTAGGTTTTATTTTCTCTTTTTTTCATTCCGCGATGTCTTTGCCTCTATTTCCTCCCTTCCTCTTCTATTTTGTATTTTTTCATTTTATTTTTGGTAGCAGTAAATGCACACGTTCTATCTTTCTACAAAAGTTCTTATCATTCAAATCTGAGAACTATGATCGGTTGTGGTAACGCTTGATTTTGAGGATGGTGAGTCGTAATTACCGTGCTAGGTAGTGTCTGTTTAGGGTAGATAAAAGTTTGAGCCTTTTTTTTTTTTGGCGTGTTCAAGATGTGGAGTAGATGGTGGTGTGCCGGTGGTGGAGGATCGATTCTGAGGCAAAGGGTGTCTTTTGTTTTTAGTGGAAGCCATGGTTGTGGGGGAAAGGTTCAGCCTTTTGATCCTTTGAGGGGTTTTGAAGGGGAATGTGGTGGAAGGAGAGGAGGGGTGGCGTTTGTGTTGAGGCAGATGAAGAGCGGTGTCTGTTCCACAGCTTCAGTTTCACACCCTGCTGATGCTGTCAGTGGGAATGGGAATGAGAATAGTAATAATAGTAATAATAATGATAATAGTAAGAGTAATGATGATAATGGGAATGGAAAAAAAGGGTCTATGTCCTTCCGTGAGGCTAAGAAGCTAATGAGATTGGCGAATGTGGAATCGCTAAAGGAGAAGCTTGAAAGGGAGGAGAAGGAGATTATTCCCTACTGTGAGCTTCTTGAAGAGTGTAAGAAAATGGGTGTTGCAAGAGATGCTGAGGAGGCTGCAACATTTGCACATTGTCTTGATGATGCTGGGGTTATTCTCCTCTTCAGAGACAAGGTCTATCTGCATCCTGATAAGGTGACTGCTCTTTATCATGATTCTATCATTCAGTGTTTGATAATTGTTTCTCAGAAAGAAAAAATTGAATCTGTTACCGTGTGGCTTTCTTAAAACATGGCCAAATCAAGCATGTATTCAATGCCAGGAGATACCATTCATTACCCCTTTTCATGGTCCCCTTAGCTTTTAGGCTTTGTTTGGAAGTTTAGAATACTTTGTACTGCGACATTCCTTTTTTTGTTAATTTGTGAGAGTTGCAAATTAACAGATTGTCTCTAGGGGATGAATGGATTGTGTTTGCTGTTAATCTTTGAACTTCACTTTGTGACATGGAAACTCTGTTGTCTGCATTAATGTGAGTTGGTCCAAACTCACCGAAACATGATCTTTCATCAAGTGGAATAATATTGTGTGATCCACGTAGTCAACCTTATTAAATGAGTACAACATTGTTATTGGTACACTCGCTGATAGAAGGCATGGATACTTCAAAACTGTGACTTTGTTAAACACTTTTATCAGCAATTTGTTGAGTACTTCTGTGTTGCTGTTTTAAAATTGGAGTTTTGTTTTACCAACTTATATTGAACTTGTACACAAACCTTTACTATATTAATCATTCAAATAAAACTTACCAAAAAGATTTAGTTTATAAATATACCAAATGTTTCCTTCCATATAAGAAGCCCTGTGTTGTATGATTTGTAGATTGATGATCCCTTTTGTATTGCATGGTGAATATCAGGTGGTGGATATGGTTAGAAGAGCAGTTCCACTGGCACTAACAGAAGATGGTGATCCAATGATGGAGGAGCTAAAGAAGCTGCAAGAGAAGAAGACAGAAATTGACACGTTGGCACACAAGCAGGTTCGGAGAATCCTGTGGTCTGGACTAGGACTTGGTGTGTTTACTGTTGGACTGTTCTTCAGGCTAACATTCTGGGAATTCTCATGGGATGTGATGGAACCTATCACATATTTCACCACTTCCACTGGTTTGGTGGTAGGCTATGCCTACTTCTTGTTCACTTCTAGAGACCCCACTTACCAAGATTTCATGAAGAGACTCTTTCACTCCAGACAGAAGATCCTTCACAGGAACTACAATTTTGATGTTGACAGATTCAATGAGCTCCGATGCATGTGCCATAAACCCTTGAATGCCAAAGCCATTTTCAGAAATCGCTCTGGGGTGGAACAGGATTTGGAGGATGTTTTGCGCAAAGATTAACCGACTAACATTTCTTTTAGTATCGTATTCATACTTATGGTTTCTAAAGATAAAATCTTTACATTAACCGTTGTGAACAAAATAAGAAAAATCTTTCATTATTCATTTATTCCTTTAGTTGTATAAACATTATTTTCATGTCCTTTGTACTTGATGATAATAAGTCACGTACTTTAGTTCTTCATGTATTATTTTAATCTCTTTAATTTTTGTCATCTCATCTCATAGAGATTAAAAGCAGAATGCTTAAAAACTAAAAAAGATTGAGGTTTTTTTCACCATATTAGTGCAACTTTAAACAAAAATTCTACAAATTTTACTGTCACGTCTCATTAATTCAGTACTGAGTCACCTAGCTGCTTACATCAATGCACTCACGTCACTTACTCGGTGCATTAAAAATCCACTTAGTAATCCATGCATCAAAAGCCACGTGTGATAGTAGAAGGTTCTGAAGTCAGTATTGGGAGTACAGGTGTCGGCAGGGGAATGTTCGTCCGTTTGGACTTGGATGAAAACAAAAGTAATTTCTGGAAAACCATCCCACTTTTCCTGCACGCACTTTCTTCTTCCCAAAACTCAGATTTCAACTTCCTCCTCCTTCTCTCTAGAACCTTTCATCTTCTCTCTTCTGCAAACTTATCATTTCCTACTCCGATCAACATTCAGGCACCGTGGAAGCATTCACGGAGTTGTAAGCTACGTTTTGAACCGAACTGTTTTGGATTCTGAAACGGGTAAGTTTCACGTTCTCAACTGTTAGTTCTTATCAACATGCAAACCTATCTATGGATTGCATGCACCTCATCTGAACCAATCTTGGTTTTCTGTAATTTTAGCCTGAAGAGTTTGATTGAGCATTAAGGGTAGAAGCGATTTTTACTGGATACTGAATTTTCTGTTTGAAGAGCGAATGCTCGTCTTAAAGGTAAGGGAAGCTTATTAAGTTTAATTCATGTAATTTAATGTGATGTATGAATGTACTGGGAATTACATGTTTTGTACTGTATGAGCGTTCTGTAAATCTGTATGCAGTATGATGTTTGATATTTGATTTTTGGAGTATATGAGTATGATCCGAATTGATGTATGGAAATGATGAAGTATTCTATGGTTTGATTAAATTGAAAGTGAGCTGTATGATGAGATGATGCATGAAAAAGTATGGATTTTGTCCTATAATATGAGTAATTTGATGTATGAAAGTTTATACTGAAAAATGTGTGTACTGTAAATTGAATTGGAATATGAAATTCTATGAAAATGAACGTTCGTTATCGATACGGTCATTGACCGTTCGGTATTCTCAGTAAATTCTTGAAATAGCTGAACCCTTTCATTTGGAAAGGATTATCCTTGCGGACGAACGCCCTCCTATATATAGTATTACGTTTGAGCGTTCGGCCAGACGTAAACATCTTGAGTGTTGTATGAGAATTTGAGAAGCCTGAAAATACCCCTTTGAACTCTTAGTCAAATTATTAAAACATAAACGTTAAGTATCTCACCTTATATAAATCCCAATTTCTATGATTTTGGATCAGTGAATAGTCTCGACCTAAAAGCGTACGTCCTAAGTGGCGCTCGGTCTTAGACCGAACGCTCGTCCTAAAAGTATAAATGATAAGTAGCGCTCGGTCCTATACCGAATGCTCATCCCTTCCGTAATTATCAACGAGCTGTAATAACGTTCGTCCTGAATTGAAATAGCGTTCGTCCATCAATTTTAAATAGCGTTCGTCCAATAGATCTAGTAACGTTCGTCCAAGACTTCAGTGACGTTCGTCCAAAAACTTCATTAAATGTCTATTTTCGCGCTCGGTCATTGACTGGCAAACGGTTTTCCCTAAGTTAACTGTTCTCGGTACAAATCTCCATTTGTCTGGTGGTGTTACATTCATTTGAATTCGGCCTAGAGCCTTTATACTTAACTTATTCTAAGTATTATTCGGGTCGTACTAGAGTCAGTTCATTTAACTGATTCAAAGGAGTCTTTCTCGGTCTCGCTCTCGACGTTCGTCCTCGTTATGAAGGGGAGTGAACGTTCGTCTTTTTATGCAAGTGAAATAAAGAATGAAAATGTATATAAGAGGAGAAATTAAGATGTGCGAACACTATGAGAACTAAAATTATGATTGTTGATTTTGAACGAGCGTTCCAGGGAGGAACGACTCTTGAATGGAAATTGAGATTTTTAAGTATGAACGTGGTAAGCTTAGATGGTGGTTCATCCTGATATTCCGTGAGTGCTCGTTCTCAAGTAGAGAGGAGTAGGTCATGCGTGGGAATGGCAGGAGGTCTAGTCCATAACTGTAACTTGGACAGAATAGACTAACCTCAGGTGGTGACTGATGAGCATTCCAGTTAACTCACCTGTGTGCATGAATGCCTTAGCTACACAGGATTCATACAGCCCGGACGGTCGGTCTAGTATCAGGATTTGGAATGAATTAATGAATGAAATGATGTATGTAATGTGATTTATTTGACGTGTATTTAATATGTTATGAACTGTATGTTACTCGAATTAAATGCAATAAGCTTACCCTTGCGTTTTTCCATTGTGTTGTCTGTATATGTGGATCTGTCTTGTCCTTGCAATGATCATCCATGTGGATGTGAGCAGAGGGAGAGGCTTCTCTGGAGCAAGCGCTTGAAGAAGAATTTATGGCGGAAGAGAATCTGGTAGAGGTTGAAGTGAAGGCCGAACAGTAGGATGTTCGGTGGGATGTTAGTATAGTTAGATTAGCGGGCCGTTTTAGAACGAGCACCCCTTTTGATGTAGTTGTGTAGATTGGATGTTCGGTATTTGTTTTGTACACCGTTCGTCCTTATTACTTAGTGAACTCTCATAAGTTGGCTTGTGTATATGTAAGGCCGTTCGGCCACTTGAGAACCCTGCCTCTTTTTATTATAAGACTGTTTTGTTATATTAATATATGTGAATATTATATTATATAGTTGCTGATTGTATAATTTTGGGATGTCACAATAGTTTTCTTAAATGTTCTAGTAAAATTTACAAAATTTAAATCTCAATGCTAAAATTTACAAAATTAAAATCTCAATGTTAAAATTTACAAAGTTTAAAATTCAATGTTAAAATTCATAAAATTGAAAGCTCAATGGTAACATTTTTGAAAGTACAATAGTTCACTCATCACATCTTTAGTCATTTGACATCTAATTGACGAATATGCAAAAGATGTATAATTTTGAAATTCATATGATAAAATTCAGGCAATAAGTGGAAAAATGTAGTGGTAAATTATGAAAATACGCTGATAGGTAAAATATAATGCAGATATTTACCATCCAAACTTCAAAGGCATTTGCAGATTTACCAAAGATTCATTGGTTATGCAATTATCTACAAAATTCCAGTATGGTAAAAAGGTTGGATTGTTAACTGATTAAACAAAATAGAAAGCAGGTATTTACACATCCAAAAGCAGTAGCTGACTCACAAAGATCATCGGCTATGCAATCTTCCCAATATATCTGTACTCGCAGTTGATGTAAAGTCCTTAGTTTCAATCTGGTCCACTTCAATACACACATCCTTTAATGCAGCAGCAGATGATGTTCGGCCAAGATTTTTACCATTCCTCTTACAAAGCTGAGATAATGCTTGAACAATTTCACACATCGTTGGTCGGCTTTGGGAGACTTCACTAACACATATGAATGCAAGTGAAGCCATGTCGTTAAGATTATCCACATCATATTTTCCATTTAATTGCCCGTCCACAATTTCTTCCCATCCAACCTTACCCCCACCTTCCATGGCTGCCTAATGATAACCGTCAAGAAATACTGTGTCAATCTTAAGTATTTAATTGTATATTTTCAAATGTATCAAGACACATGCATGCAGCACAGAACCAGCACACAAAAAGAAACACACAAATAGATACTGTTCTTACTAGTTTTACATATTCCATGAGCCCAAGCTGCGGATTCCTGCCAGTTATGAGCTCAAACAGTAGCACACCAAAGCTATAAACATCACTTTTCTTAGTGAAGGTTCTTGTAGACAAATACTCAGGATCAAGATATCCGAAAGTTCCACGGATATTTGATGTGCGAGGTATGATCATCTCAGGTCTGGAAAGCCCAAAGTCAGTGACCTAAACATATATAAAAGAAGAAAGGCTTCGAGCTTCAATATGGACAGAAGCAAGTAAAGGGATATGATGAGAAGAAAAATTGCAGCAGAATCTTAACAAAAATAAGATATCATTTTCAGGAAAGCTTATGGCAGCATCATTTTGATGATATAGAAAAGAAAAATTTATGAAATGCAATGCATAAATGGAAGAATAATAACAAGAGAAAAATGGCACCGAAACTAATAATGCCCCATGAAAGTTTTAAAGTATCACCAATATCTTAATTTGTGGGAACTAAAAGTGCAAAGATCACCTTGGCCTTCATAAACTGATCCAACAGTATGTTGCAAGATTTGATGTCACGGTGCACAACAGGTGGAGAAGCCTGCAACAAGTTCGATTATAAATAAGAAGAAAACAAAAGGAAACTTATTCCATTCCATGTTCTCCATGCGTAAGTTGACCGATTTAATTAGTTGATTTGAGTATTATATATACCCCACAATGTAGATATTCCAGTCCCCTTGCAACATCTAGTGCTATACCAAGCCTCAAATCCCAATTCATTGGCTCACGACCTTTTCCGAAATCTGCAACCCACAAGGGTAAGTTAACGGAGAACAAAGAAGAGTACAAGTAAAAATTCTTCTAAGCTCCGGAAGAAAATATGAAATTTTGTTTCCTANATTTATTAACGTTCGTCCAAGACTTCAGTGACGTTCGTCCAAAACTTCATTAAATGTCTATTTTCGCGCTCGGTCATCGACTGGCGGTTTGTCTCCTGAATTAAATCGTGCTCGGTTTATTTATCTAAACAAATTTGTGATGTATATATCCATTGGATTCGCTCTAGCGTTATTGAACTTAAATTATTCTAAGTATTTTCCAGATCGTACTAGAATCAGTTCATCTAACTGATTCAAGTTGTAATGAAGTCTGTCTAAATAACCTATGTTGGTTTTACTCTATTCGTTAGCGAGCCTTTCTTGGTATTATCTTAACGTTCGTCCTCTATTACAAAGAGGACTGGACGTTCGTTCTTTTATGAAAGTGGAACTAAGATTGAGAATGTGAATAAGAGGAAAGATTAAGATGTGAGAACGGTATAAGAGATGAAATTATGATTGTGAAATTTGAACAAGCGTTCCAGGGAGGAACGACTCTTGAATGGAAATTTGAGATTTGGTAAAGTATGAACGTGGTAAGCTTAGATGGTGGTTCATCCTGATATTCCGTGAGTGCTCGTTCTCAAGTAGAGAGTAGTATGTCATGTGTGGGAATGGCAGGAGGTCTAGTCCATAACTGTAACTTGGACAGAACAGATTAACCTCAGGTGGTGACTGATGAGCATTCTAGTTAACTCACCTGTGTGCATGAACGCCTTAGCTACACAGGATTCATACAGTCCGGACGGTCGGTCTAGTATCAGGATTTGGATTGAATTAATGAATGAATTGATGTATGTAATGTGATTTATTTGACGTGTATTTAATATGTTATGAACTGTATGTTACTTGAATTAAATGCAATAAGCTTACCCTTGCATTTTCCCATTGTGTTGTCTGTATATGTGGATCCGTCTTGTCCTTGCAATGATCATCCATGTGGATGTGAGCAGATGGAGAGGCTTCTCTGGAGCAAGCGCTTGAAGAAGAATTTATTGCTGAAGAGAATCTGGTAGAGGTTGAAGTGAAGGCCGAACAGTAGGACGTTCGGTGGGATGTTAGTATAGTTAGATTAGCGGACAGTTTTAGAACGAGCACCCCTTTTGATATAGTTGTGTAGATTGGACGTTCGGTATTTGTTTTGTACACCGTTCGTCCTTATTACTTAGTGAACTCTCATAAGTTTGCTTGTGTATAGGTAAGGCCGTTCGGCCACTTGCGAACCCTACCTCTTTTATTATAAGACTGTTTTGTTATATTAATATATGTGAATATTCTATTATATAGTTGCTGACTGTATAATTTTGGGATGTTACATTTACACATATCGATAGCTCGTGTTTGTGTGACACAACTTTATCCTATAGAAGTCATGTTTGTATTGCGAAGAAGTTATGCATGTATAACGATTTCAGACTTTTTTAAGTGAAATTGTATAAAATTGACATAATTTTAGTTCAAATTAAAAAAAAAAACTTAATTGGTCATTTGTTTTCAGAATTTGTTTTTGTTTCGATTAAATTTTAATTTTCAAAAAAATATTCAAATTCAATTAGGTTCTTTTCGTACTATACGTCAAAGACATTTTATGCGGTTTTTATATTAATATTTTTATTAAAATTAAACTTTTAACATATTAAATTGAAATAATTACATATTAAATTACTTTATTGTTATAAAAATAAGAATGATAATAAAAATTTAATTTATAGATATTAATAATTTAAATTATTGTATATTTTTTAATTATATGATAAAAATTGAATTTTTAAATTTTAATATTTTTAAGTCAGTTATTTTAAGTGAGACAATAATTTGTTATTTATCATATAAATATTATTATATTTATTAAATAAATTTGAGTTTCGTTATATAAGTATTTATAACTATTATATTATTAATTTATATTAGTTTATATGATTAAAATAATTTATTTAAATGGTATCCAATAATGTTCTTATAATTAGTTTAAAAACAATTTCAAAATATTTAATACAAAATCCAAAAATATAAATATTTATATAAACATTAATAAAAATAATAAATTTGATTTAAAATGTTCTATTTTAAAAACCACTAAAACTGAATGTAATAAAAAAATCATATATAAAGATTAAATTAAATATAAAAAAATGACACTTGCATTTATACTCACAAATGATACTTACATTGACAAGTAACATTGTGTGTCATGCTAGCATCGTCAATGTCATATTACATTATCAGTGTGCCACGTGACATGTTAACATTGTCAATACTACATATAATGTATGAACCTGATATACATTTTTTTTTATAAAAAATAAATAATTAAAAGCTAAAAAAAATTATTAACTCAAACGAGACGTGTTTTTAACATCCTAATCCTATAGTACTAACCATAATAACCTAATTCGATCAAATTTAAAAAAATTTGAACTTAATTGAAAAAAAAAAATCATGTGAAAGTTTTCAACAAAAATTGAAACTAAATGACAAATTAAGACCAAATAAAGTAACAACATGGAAAAAGTAGTGTAGAATTAGCCCATCTTATTTTGAAGAAATTTAAAGTCGTAACATGTATATATAATTTTTTTCAAGTATGAGGCAAGCATTAGTTACCAATCTCGTAAAGTTTAAACAATTTATCTATTTTCGTAATTTTTATTTTAAATTAAACTAATATAACGATAAGATAATCAAAAAATGATTTATTCGGTTAGTATTAAAAGCTAAAAATTATCCAATTATAATTATAAAATGAGCAATCAAACAAGTGAAGAAAAATTAATTTTTTTAACAAATTGAAATTAATATATGCCCCAACTAAAAGTTAATTTTCTAAAAACTAAATGAAAGAGCTTTTATAAATTAAATTATATATAAAATAATTTCAAGTTATAGAAATTTATCTCTATATAGAAGTGTTTTATAGTTATAAATTTATTCAAACAAATTCATAAATTAGAGCAAAAGTTTCAGTTAAATAACCATTGTGAATTTACATCTCAAAACGATCAGAAGGTAAATACCTTTCAATCACATAATATTTCTAATTTGTTAATCGCATTAATTTTTGTACTTTATATGATAAAGTATTCCTCGAATATACTAGTATTGATCTATCCCTAGACAAATATATGTTGACTACTAAGTTGACATGTACATGACAGACTACTAAGTCGACATGTAATATATGTCGGACTATTAAGTCAACATGTATTCGACCCATATTTACTCAATCCACGTGATATTACACAAGTTACTTATTCACAATACTTTATGACTAACCATGATAATTTAAAAGTTAACTGATATTTGGACCAATGGACTCAATTAACACTAATATAAATAGTACATCTTACAAAATATGTTAAATACGTTAATTAATTATCACATTTACTACTTGTTAAGACACTAGGTTGACTTGCACATCCAACACATCTTCTTCTGTAAACACAACTCATGTTTACTTCAATAAAGAAGAGTACTCAAAAGGAGAACAAATATATTAACAATTGAAATAAAAGTGTTTTATACACATTCAACTCTATAAAAATAACTTTTAAAATTAAAACAATTTTAAAATATAATTTAAAACTACAAGTAATTAGTTCGGATAATATTTTGAATATATATATATATATATATATATAT